TATTTTTAATATTAATTTTTTACAGTTTCGAATATTTAATTTTTTTAAGATTTTCGTCTATATTGTAACTTATTTTTGGCACTAGGGATATATATATTTTTTAAACATATTTTTAAGCTTCTAATTTTTTTAAATTTCTTTTTTTGAGTTAAAGATGATATAGTGTTCAGTGTTAAAAGATTCATATTTTAAGCTATTTTATGATGTTCTGAAAACATTTCTACACCATCAATTTGTGTGAAAAAAATCTTGACATTCGAAGTATATTATGTTTTTTAACTATAGATTTTTAACTATAAATATTAAACAAAATATATTTGTTTAATATTTTTAACAATTTATTATTTAGCAATTTTGTTAATTATTTTATACTTTACTGATTGATAAACTGTTATTTTTTGTAAGGCATGCAGTTTTCTTGTGGCTTTTTTCTCGTTTTCTAAAAATTATAAATTTTGGACAAAACGCATTTTGAAAGTCTACTCCTCAAATATACCTTCAAAATCTCTATATTAATGTTTTCAAGATTGCAGATTTTAAATCTGCACTCATAATTGATAAATTTTCATAAATGGCAGATTTAAAATAACTATCAAGACATATTGAATTAATGAAACATAAATTCTTAACTTTTTATATATTTAAGGGAATCCTAAAGCCGTTTGTATTACTAAATCATATAATTTTTGTATAACAAATACTTTTTTCTCTTTCACAGATTCAAAAATCCTTTTCCAAGATTAAAATATACGTATTAATATGTGTTTGTGAAGTGGTGAAGTTTGATGTCAAGAATGACCAAAAATTTCGAAATTGATATATTTTTTTACCATTTCTTAGTATAACATAGCGTCTTGAGCTGTCAAATCGTGACAACATTTGCTTGATACGAATGAAAGTTTTGCAACTTATCAAATAGTAATCAACAAACATGTAGTTTGCACGAACAAATAATGAATTCTTAGAATTAGACTTAGATGCTTTATCGCGAATTTGTTATACGAAAATTGCAAATGTGCGACTGCGTATATCATAAGCTGCATGAGATATTGATGTGGTGCGCGACGCGATTTCGTCGAAGTTCGAATTTCGCTTTAGGATTCCCTTAATATTCTTAATATTCTTAATATTTTTTACAATTGTTAATATTTTTAATATTTTTACACGTAAATTATATAAATTTTACACGTAAATAAGCCATAGTTAATTCTTTTCAATTTATCTGCCATATGAAATATATTTTGATTTTTTAAATTTTGTCTTAAAATTTGTAATCAGTAATCCCTATATATTAAAATTCAGCCAAATACATTTATTAATAGAAAAATTTATACAATAATGGATCAAGCAAAACAAATTGTATACCATAATATAGAACATGAAAATAAAAACGTATTGTTTTATTGCTCATTCGGGAAGAATTCAGGTTCAGCATCTGAATTTGTGAGATCCAATCTCCAATGAATTCTCTCGGTAGCATTAGTTTTTGGATAGTAAGAAGTCTCGTCGTGATAAAGATAATTCCCATCATTTCGTTCTTTAACAACAAGCACGTATGGTTCTCCGTTTTTATAACCAGAATTGATTGTCTGTGTCATACTAACACCATTTACAGACTTGACATTTATGAAGTTGCCGCCAGTTGTTACTTGTCCATTTGTTATTAAACGTCCTTGTCCATCTGCACAAAAAATTTCCATTACGTACTTTTATCTTCTCTTTCCTTTACGTTTGCTTTTACGTTAATTATACAATGCACATGATCAATCATCAATCAATATGTAATCGTTAGAAGAAATTTGATATTTTATTTGGTGAAAAGAGAAATTATTTGAAACAAATTATAATTTAGTTAATTATTAGCAGTAGTGTGATATTACAGTAAAATTTTGCTTGAGTCAGCAGTGCAGCTTATGATACCTTGTATAATATCAGATTAATTGCTTTTAAATTACAATGTCATCAATTGTCGGATCGGCCAATTTCAAGGCCGATTATGGCGTATTATGGCGATTAAATTTTTCGATACTAATCACCAATAACGCTATTTGATTCGAAGCTTCAAAGCTACGTGCTAATTGCATAGATAAATGTTGCGCGAAATTAAACATCAGTAACGAATTAACAGGTGGAATGAATGGAAAAAGAATATCGATCGTCTTGAGACTTAATAGAGAATGCTAAGTGTCTGCTCTATATTAGCAGGGCCGAGTGAAAGGAATATCAACTACGTGGCAAACGAGATGCGATTTTAGAATCTCCGTTTCTCTATCTTTTGTAATGATAAAGAATATCGTGAACTATTATGCAAACGAATCAAGATCTCTCTTTTCCACGTGAATGCGAGAGGAAATTTAAGAAATTTTTATTGTTATACCCGCACTGTACCGACATCCGTACCGTATCGTCTCCGAGTCAATCGAGTCGAAACATAAAGAATGCGTTGCTGGGCGCCAACGTGTCTTTTATTCTCGCGATTCGGGAGTGCGTGTTCGCCCAAGCTTGCGATTCGGTTACACAAAGTGAATTACAACGAGCGTAACATTTTGGGGGCTCGTCCGATCTAGAAAAATCTGGCGAATATCTCGTTCGTCTATTGTGACGAGGAAAAAAGTTCAGTCAAATGATGGATTCTGAAAGGACGGCAGAAATATTGGCAGAATTGAACGGCCCGGAAAGAAAGTCCAAAACGGCAGTCGAGTCACACGGCAACAGTCAAAACAAACGCCAGAAACGACAGTTTTGCAAACCGCGCTATCAGAGATGCGACAGCTTCGAAAGGAGTAACGATCACGTGGAGAGGTGGAGCTGTTGCAGCAATGAGACGAGAAGCTGGCAGCTTCGAAAGACATTGCAGGATCCCAATAAAACATCCAGCTAAGTCCTTCTAATAATAATGCCACATTGAATATTGAGGGTGGCGAGCATGGCGTCGCGAAAGAGCTTTTGCTTACATGATGATGCGTCGAATCTTGCAATGAATTCGATTATAAATTAAAGCCCGACACATTTGGGAGGGTGCCGTTGCGCGAGTTTCTTTCGCAGTTCGAATTGATCGCGCAAACAAATCGTTGGAGCGAAACATCAAAAATCATCGCTCTAGCGTCCTGTTTGAGCGAAAAAGCACGCAGTATTTCAAAATGTGTACATGATATACCTAGACAATTTGAAGTATGCAGAGTTGAAAAATAAATTAGAAGATAGATTGGAGTTGCGTTTCGGAGAGGGATTTGTCGCAAACGGCGTACTCACAATTCACGAATTGAAAACAAAAAATTGAGGGAAGATTTCGCCAATCTCGAAACTATCGAAATAGAGAGGCTATCACGTTTGATGTACCCGGAGTGTACATATGAGATTTGGGACAAAATCGCTTGCACGCAGTTTATCTCGATATTGTCAGACGGCTTCATAAAGAAAATCTGAAAGAAGCTGGAAGAGATTACTTTGTTGCGATTGACAATAGAAAGAGCAAGGGCAATAAGACTTATTCAGGAGGAGCTGTGAAGAGAAAGGAAAAAAGAAAGAAAAGGGAAGTTTTCTGAATTCGGGGCAGTGCAAGAAAATGAGTCCGAGTGCCTGGAGAGAGAAGGAAGCTCGAACTAGTTGAGTGGGGCGAGTTCAACTAGTAGGAAAAAAAGCTCCAACTAAAAAAAAAAATAAAGAATCGTAGGATAAATAGAAGTTAAGGATAAATAGGGTTAAAGTTAGTTCTTGTTCTTTTTAAAAGTGACGTAATCTTTGATAAATAATAAAACTGTTTCATTTTAATTTTACGATATGAACAACATTACTGTTCAATCGAGTTTCAGAGATCGAGTACGGAAACCGGAGAAAGGGATGATTGGAGACCATTCCATTGTCTCGAGAAGAGCGATTTCAAGTACTTACTGAAAAAAATCGTCGGATTTGGTGGAAAGCCTATCGATGGGTTGCGGCTGTTGAGATTGCGGCGAGGGATATTCTATGATTCAGAAATCATTACACGTACTTTCTTTTTTTAAAGAAATCTCGATTTTTAATCTGTGGTTTTTCGACGGAACTTTGAACAAATACCGATGTGACGGAGGTACCGCAGAAAAGTCAGATTCCCCACTCTTGTTCGAAGTAAGAAGAAAGAAGTGTGCAAGATTCAAGAGAAGAGTCAAGAGGAATCCAGAAAGAGGGAACGCCCCAGAGTTTGATTTTGGAAGACTGAAACCTTCTCAAGCTTGAAAGTCTATCACAAAGCGAAATGAGTATCAAGGACAGAGCGAAATGAGTGCCAAGGACTCGGTAATTTGTGCAATAGCACAAAGCAAAGCGGGAAACTGTCCAGGAGCTTCGAAAATCACTTAGATTAGCTCGCCAAAATTGTGATTATCGGGATGACAGAAGGAGAAATCTGAAAGAAGGAAGAGAATAGTGTTAGACCGGTAACCATGTCATACCCATGCCGTACCGTCTCCGAGCGAATTGAGTCGAGAAGACTTGAAGAACACGTCGCTGGGCGACGAGCAGCAGCTCAGCTGTTTGAGTGATCTTGTCAGATTTGACGAATGAGACATTACTTCGTTCGGATGTGCTCCGAATGGAAGCTTCCGACCGTTCCTATATTAATATATTTTTATATAATATATTATTAATATATTTTTATATAATATATTATTAATATATTTTTTATTCCTGCGATTCGGGAATGCACGTTCGCCCGAGTTGACGATTCGATCGCAAAACGAATTATGCACGGCGAGCATAACAATATTATATTTAGATATTGATGCTCTGAGATTTTCCGAACGCGAAATGAAAGAAAATAATTGCATTCGAATCGCAAATATTGATTCAGGGGGTCAATTGCGTAGGGAGTCATCGTCGAACATTCTCACTTCTCGCATTTTCATCTCACGTGAAAAAATATGCGCGATTGGCTATGAGCATAGAAAATATGATATTTCTATACTCACGAGAATGAAAATCACAGAGTGCGAAATACCTAATACATAACCAAAGTGATACATAACTTTTTTTATTGTGATACATGTAAGCACACATACGTGTATATGTATAATTTATAACAGAATATAATTTCAACAGACTCATTTATTTATTCATATTTATGAACTGTATTATTCAAATATTAGATGTACAACTTTGCTTCCGCCGTTTTTTTCCGAAATTCGAGGCTTTATTGTAAAAAACTGGTTATACATTTATGATTCAAAGTATTGTCCATCACTGGCCACTACTTTCTCCCATCTTTCGGGTAGCGTACGAATCCCGCGTCGAAAAAA